CAGCGTCAGCAGTTGCATCGGTCTCAGTGTTATGAGGCAAAGGTCGGTTTGCATGACCAACTTCAAGTTACACAGGTTAAGAGCCTTGAGATTCCACCGATTGAGTTTGCGCGGGCAAGTGGTTTTATGGGTGGTGCCAGTGGTGCGGTTGAAGGTTCTATTCACGGCGGCGGGCAGAGTCATCTTGCAGCTGAGCAACATGAGTGTAATTGGGAGGAGTATTTCGACACACTGCATGTGGACCGAGCAACTCAAACTACGCCGAGGCCGGCAGCTACCACTACATCCACGCAGGTTCAGATTGATGATGCCCTACACCTAGGCGGCCCTTCAACAGTCCTTGGTGGGGCATGCTGGTCCGGCAGCTGGGAACCTCTGACGCAGCAGGTGCGCCCGATAGGGCGTTGTGTCCGGGTGAGCTGTGGCGTGGACAAGGCTGGTTGGCCCACTTTAGGCGAACCTGGTGTTGTCATAGGTGCCAGAGGGGCGGCTTGCAGAGTGATGCTGGACAGATGCGCTCCCGAATCAGCTGTTTGGCCAAAGAGTATATTCCAGGCATGGATCCCGAAGCCAGACATTTTTTGGGGCCCCTTGGTTACTCGAATGCTGTTTTCTGCTGAAACCGTTTCCACTGCTACCCAGTCTGAGCCAGCGTATGAACACCATGGAAACGCGATGGTTCAGACACCAACAGGCTGGGAGCAGGGGGGCTGCGAGACTACTTCAACACGTCGTGTGACCAGGGAGGATGAGATCATTAACCAGTACCACTGTGGTGCACTCTACACCGAGCGCTGGATAACGGCGCTCGAACGCAGGCTCGATGGCGACGTACCAGAAGTCAAAGGCATCAGAGAAGAATTCGAGGAATGGGATGCCCGGATGTGTATATTCAGGCCCGTGGACCAACGTGACGTCAGCATACAGGCTACAAGCAGGTTGTGATGGAGATCCGAAATCGTTGCTCACATCCCCATGCTCGCAAAGCGGGGGGTGTGGATCTCCACGTCTACGGTAAGAGGCAGTGGAGTATTGCGCGGTTGACCCTTCTTTCGGGTCGAATGATTCTGCTCTCTTGCTGGTGTGAGGGCTCAAGGCCACAGATGTGGCAATAGAGCCGCAGAGCCCTAGGCACCCGAAGCCAATGAAGCGCACCTGGAGACAAAAGATGGCTTCTGACATGAGTCGCTGGCAATTCCGAAAGCTCATACGATACCAGCGTCAGCAGTTGCATCGGTCTCAGTGTTATGAGGCAAAGGTCGGTTTGCATGACCAACTTCAAGTTACACAGTTCCTAGGCACCTTCAGAACAACCCGAAATTCTAAACCCTAAACCCTAAACCCTAAACCCTAAACCCTAAACCCTAAACCCTAAACCCCGTGTAACCTGATAAACAAGCGACTCAGGGTTTAGGGTTCGGGGTTCGGGCCCGTGTTCCTATGGATGCCACGTGCCTGAAGTTGCACGCGACTTTTCTGGGTACGTTATCCCTAAACCCTAAACCACAAAAAATGCTAAAAACCCTAAGCCTTAGAAACCCTATAGAAGCCCTAGAAACCCTAAAAGACCCCTAAACCCTGAACCCCAAACCCCAAACCCCAAACCCCAAACCCCACACCCTAAACCCTAAACCCCAAACCCTAAACCCTAAACCCTAAATCCTAAATCCTGAGCCCTGTCATGAGCTCAGAGTTCCCCGCAGTCTCCCTTTTTGGGCTCCTAATTCTTCAGGGTAGTTACATGGTCCCTGAATAGAGGCGTTAGGGTTTAGGGTTTAGGGTTTAGGGTTCAGGGTTCAGGGTTTAACGGGGACCATTTTTTCCCGCTTAGGTACTCTATAAAACCTGAGGGCCCATGCTTCGGAGCCTTTAGGGTTTAGGGTTTAGGGACAGGAGGCAAGGGACCGTATTAGAGTAATACAGTTCCTTTTTTCGCTTCGTTTTAGGGGATTACACCTGGACAGTTCATGGGTAGTTATGGCCAGGGTTTAGTGTTAGGGTTCAGCGGAAGAGGTAGGGTCATAAGTCAGGTAACCTGCATTACCTATAAATTACGTACTTATAACCCGACTTAGAACTACCCATCAACCTCCCCCCTAAACGCTAAACCAATAATCCTCAACCTACTTATAACTACCCATCAACCTCCCTCCATCAACCTCCAAGTAGTATACTTCACCCTAACAAGGGTACTACATAGGAGCCTTCAGGTAGGCTAGAGTTAAGGGGTTTAGGGTTAGGGTTTAGGGTTTAGTGGTTTAGGGTTTAGGGTTTAGGCTAAGTCAAGGGTGTCATGTGAGGCGTTGACCTCATATTTTCACCTGCGATCCAGCGTTTAGGGTTTTGAGGTTTTAGGGATTCAGAGTTTGGAGAGGTTAGGATGTCATTAAGGGTGTGGGGTTTAGGGTTTCGGGTTAAGGGTTTCTGGGTGTAGTTTAGGATCTGCGGTTCGGGTTTAGGGGCTTCAAAGGTTTCGGGTGTCCCTTATGATTCTGAAATTCTTAGGTCGCCAGCCCTAAGCGCTCCGAACCCTGTGAGCCCTATATGAACCCTAAACCGTATGAGCTCTAATCCCTGAACCCTAAACCCCTATGAAGCACATGATATGAACCCTATATGCACCCTGTGTGATTCCTAGAAACCCTAACTACCCTATGAACCCTAAACACTATGAAGCACATGAACCCTGAACCCCAAACCCTAAACCCCAGACCCTAGACCAGGTCGCGTCCCTGCGCCGGATCTGAGTTGCTTTTGGCCTGGCCGTCAACTGGGCTAGGACCCAGGTGCCTTTGGCTAAGCCCTATACGGTTTAGGGTTTAGAGTTTAGGCCTGAGGGTTTAGGGTTTAGGGTTTTGGGGTTTAGGGTTTGAGGTCTTTATACCGTAAACCTCCCTGAACCCTAGGCATCAGGACTTAGGGTTTGGGGTTTCAACCCCAAACCCCAAACCCCAAACCCCAAACCCTAAACACGTGGGTGCGGGCTTCGGTTTTGGGTTCAGGGCTTCTTGAGGCATGTACGTCAAGGCTGTGGCGCCTGAATGCAAAGGCTATGTGCAGGCAGCCCTATAGGGTTTAGGGTTTCGGGTTGAGGGTTTAGGGGTGAAAGGCTTCAGGGAGTAGGGTTCAGGGTAAGCCTCAACCCTAAGCCCTAAGCCACATCCTGACTGTGACCCTGACTTGCAACTCCCACTTACTACATCAGGCAATTGTGTTTCCATTTCGTCTTTTCTCGGGTTAGGGCTTATAAAGGTTCTTTAATTTCGAGTCAAGGGCTGATAGGGTTGACCTAGCTCTGAGAACCAACGCCCCTCGAAGCTTTGAACTCTGCACCCTCAACCGCTCAGCCTTAAACCCGAAACGCTAAACCCCCGTGCAAAACACCCTCAAACCCCACCCCTCTCCCCCTCAACAAGACTTCCTTCCTCCAAAATCCCCCCCGCCCCCCCCCTCCCCCCTCCCCTCTAAACCCTAAACCCCAAACCCTCAATGCACCCAAAACCCTGAACCCCAAGGTGAGGAAATCTTCCTCCCAAAGCTGGAGGAAGGCCTGGTGTCGATGTACAGCGATCCAAGGGGGCACAACCTCCCCTTGAAGGAATCGATCCTTTTTGGGTTAGGGGTTTAGGGGTGTAGGGTTTAGGCTTTAGGGTTTAGGGTTTAGGGTTTAGGCGTGCAGGGTTTAGGGGCCCCCTTAGTACTCTAACTATACTTAAGAGGGCTTCGAGCCGAACTTGTGACCCTTAGAACCCGACTTAGGGGCCCTTATCACTCTGCTTATAGCTTGGGGGCCCCCTCCTTGTAAGCCCTAAAGGTTTAGGGTTTAGGGTTTAGGGTTTAGGGTTTAGGGTTTAGGGTGTATTTGCAGATTTCCGCCAAACCCCAAACCCACGAGTGAAGGCGTCTTCCTTTTGTACGGGGCTCTGGGCTTTCTCTCTGGAGATCGTGGACCCCTAAACCCTAAACCCTAAACCCCTAACCCCTAAACCTCATACCCCAAACACCATGGAAGGCAGGGAGCTCGCCCCCAAGCAAGCTCCGATGCAAAGGTTTTGAGCGGGTTTTTAGGGCGTAGTGCTTAGGGTTTAGGGCTTAGGGATTAGGGTTTAGGGTTTACGGGTTAAGGGTTTAGGGTTTAGGGTTTAGGGCTTAGGGATTAGGGTGTAGGGTGGTTTAGGGTTTGTAGGGCTTAGGGCTGAGCTCTGCGTATCGATTGCCAAAAAAATCCGCCTGTCCGCCCTCGTGCACACGCTGGAGCGATGAGAGTTGCTTTTTGGCACCTTGCTGCGCCTGAACAAGTCTCACCGGTTTGGGTTTAGGCTTTAGTTTTTTGGTTTATGGTTTAGGGCACGTGCGCCTGGAGTGTCTGTGTGGACACTTCTTCCCATGATCGCGTGTGAAAGGTCGTGCGATGTGCGCAACTCATGGCACATGCTCGACACCCTTAGAGCCCAAAGCCTAAAGCCTTTCTTGCAAAAACCCCTGGACCGCAAACCCTAAAGCGTAAACGCTAAACCCCACACCCCAAACCCCAATCCCCCAAAACTGGTGCATGGCGGCAGCCGCACGTCGCCAGCCTCAATTGCAAGGCACGTAAGGTTGCAAGCGAGGGTTTAGGGCTTGCGATTTAGGGTGCCGGGTTTCAAGTTTAGGGTTTAGGGTTTAGGAAGGGTCTATTGGGTTTAGGGCTTGGGGCTAAGATCCAATGGGCTTGATGGAGCAGCTGTTTAAGCCCCATGAGATCGCATGAGCCTTTCCTGCATATATGCCAGTATGCCACCCAAGTCCAAGTCATAAGCTCCCAAGATTCCCAAGCTGCTTGACCCTCCTTAGACTCCCTAAAATCTCAACCCCGAACCCTAAACCCTAAGCCCGAAACCCTTCAGCAAACGACGTCATGAGTCCCGAACGATCCGAAACTCCAAAGCCGTGAGCCCAGCGCGGGCGCCAACCCGAAAAGCCCCAACCTCGTACACAGAGTGGCCATGGCTGTTGCGTGAATGCACGCGCCTATGGGCCTAGCCTGGTGCCCAGGGAAGGGCTTGGGGCTTGGGGTTTACATGCAAACATCGGGTTTCGGGTGCAGGGTGTAGGGTTTAGGGTTTAGGGTTAGGGTTTAGGGTGACTGTATGCCTTAATTACTAAACCCACCCGACACCCGCGCTTGTTGGCATGAGGGATGAGGAGGTGAAGGAGGCTAAAGGGCTTTCGCGCAATGTGTATAGTAGGTTCGTCGAGATTTATGGCTCCAGGGTCTAGATTTTCGGGGGGTTTCTTGGTTAGGGTTTAGGGTTTAGGATTTAGGTTGTTTGGTTCTAGGGTCTAGGGTCCAGGGTCTAGGGTTTCTGGTTTAGGGTTGGGTTCATATTCTTACATACTTGGACCCCAAAGTTTTTGTTTAGGAGGCACTTTTAGGCTCAAGTGTACCCTATATAGGTACACAGTCGGTACACATGCAGCAGGTGCGTATCATGAATGAACATGCAAAGCGGAATCCCTTACGAAAATCTCCTTCTTTCTTTGTATTGGCTAGGACCCCGAGTAGGCCCTTATTTCTTTTCGGTGGGGGTTTAGGTTCCCTTACAGGAAGGGCACCTTTTTTCCTAGGTTATTTGGGTCTAGTTGATAAAGAGGGCCCCCCAGTTAGAAGTAGAAACTGAAGGGCCCTGAATCGGGTTATAAGGGTCCTACATCAGGTTCTAAGCCTCTTAACTTAAGTTAGTATGGTAAGGTGGCCCCTCCTTGTTGTTGAAATGCGCATGCAATCCCAAATCCATATGGTCAGTTCTCTAAATTGTGGTCCCTTTGGGGGTTACTACTAGAAGGCGGCTCCAAATACTTAGGGTACCCCAAAAAATCCAGATTTTAGAGAACTGACCATATCCAGTGGCAGCCCACGAACTTCGTATTGCCCAGAGACCGGCGTGCCACTCTTCAAAGGTTCTGTTCTCGGGTTTGGGGTGTAGGGGTTTTCAAGCCGGAGCCCTAAACCCTCAAACCGCAACACGCAACTGTCTCTGCCTTTCAGAGGCTGACTGGACGCATGCTGGAGCCTGAGTGCCGCACCAGGTCTTTGGCAATTGCGAATCCGAGTAGACGAACCTGCTAGGGTTTAGTGTTTGGGAGTAAGTAAGGAATACGGGAATGAGGTATATCCCCTTGTGTATACCCAAGCAGGGATTCTACAGGGAACTGAAGCCTAAACCCCAAACCCCGAACCACAAACCCCAAACCCAAACCCTAAACTACTCCGAACCAGTAAGTTTTTTGTTGATCAAGCTCCCATGCTTTCTGTGAGCACACACATGCCTGGCAGGGTGGCAGGGGAGGGTTTTGGGTCTAGGGTTGAGGGTTTAGGGTTTAGAGTTTTCATATGAGAAAGTGTGGGATCAACCTTGCCCCAACAGGAATGCGACAGGATTCTTCGGTGAAGCTTGCGCCCTGGGGCTACATTTTATTGCCAATTTTCGTCCGACGTTGGAATAAGCTTGCTCTGAATTTGCCAAGTGGGAGCAGCCTGAACAGTCCAAACCCCTAATCCCTATATAATAAACCCTAACCTGTCCCGGGATCACGGCCTCAGAGCGTTCTTGTTTAGAGTTTGTTTTCTGTCTTTAAAGAGGTTCTTAGGGATACTTGGGAATAATTCTCATTTTTTCGGTACTATAGTTCTTAAGAAACAGCTAAAATCATAATTTGTTCTAGGCTTCCAAGTGCAGTATAGGGTTGTGTTCTTCAAGGCTTTAGGGTTTGACGTTTGGGGCTGTTGTTTTTGGTGCTCGGGGGGTTTTGGGCTTAGGCAGTCCAATCCTGGAAGCCCTGTCGAGGTGAAGCCGTTGCGGGGAGGCCGCCGACGAAGATTTTGGGTCTGGAGGGTTCAGGGTTTTAACAGGGTTTTTAGGGTTTAGGCTTTGAGACTTCCAGGGTTTATGGTTTAGGGTTTAGGGCTTCTAGGGTTTAGGGTTTTTTGGGCTTGGGGGTGGTTCGGTTCTCCTAGACCGTAAACCGTAAAGAACCTTCAAACACTAATAGAGTTTGTGGTGTAGCATGTCTTACATATCTTAACTTGTGGACAACCATTCTAAATCTGAGGTCTTATTATCTGACATGGACGACTATCCCATCAGTTCCTTGGGCTTTCTTGATTTCTTGATTTCTTGATTACAACTGTCATGTTTTTCTTAAAGCACTTCCAATCTTATCTGATTCGCTTCTTTAAATTTTTGGGGTGATCTTCATTCTAATACACCTTTGTTTGATCCCCAAGCGGGGCGCTTCATGGCGGAGAGCGTGCGTGGTTGCTGCGCAGGAGCTGGAGAGGCGAATTTCCGTCCTGAGGGGCTGGGAGAATCTCTTCGCCAAGGAGCAAGTCACCCTAAACCCTTAACCCTAAACCCTAAACCCTAAACCCCAGTGGCAGGGCAACACGTGGAGCAGCAAGTGACGTCCGTCTGAAGGCTAGCCGGCCAGGCCGTCGTCCATCCTAGCTCGCGACGTCTGCTCTTCCCCACGTCTTCCTTTTGGAGGAGAGCAGCCTCGTGGCCCTCAAGGGCTCTACCATATCGGGTTGCCCCTAGTGCCCGATGGATGGCCTTGCAATTTACCAACCTCAGTCAAGAGAGTTTTCAAGTTTCGCAGCTAAGCGTAAGTTAAACCTCATCTCACCAGACCCCAGCTGTCAGCTTAGATCTCACGGCCTGAGAGGGGGTTTCAGCTGTAGGCCTATAGGTTTGATTACAGGGGGTTTGGAGTGTACCATAAGCCCTTACGCTAATCAAGCGGAGGCCCGCCGTGAAAGCCCAGACCAACCTGCTTCTTTTGTACGCTTAGGGTTGGGTGTTCTGGGGGTTGGGGTTTCGGGTCGAGGGTGTACAGAAGTCCTAAACGAAACAACCGCAACCGACCTTGGAACTTAAGGTCACACTGGGTTTCAGGAGCCAACCCTAAACCCTAAACCCTGAACCCTAAAACCCTAAACCCTAAACATGTCAATCGGGCTTGGGGGTATTTGGTGTTAATGGGTTTAGGGAATCTCCTCGCGGCACGCCTGAGTGTCTAGGGTTAGCGGTTTCTAGCCTAGCCCCTCTCGAGAAGCCCACCAGAAGCTGCATCTACATGACTAATTGGTAGGCGTGTTTGCTCTAATTATTGATGACTTGTTATTATTTCTCTTGCTGTACAACTGTACAGCCGTTATGCATTGCCCATGTGTGTCAGCATGTATGTCTACATGTATGCATGCGGCCGTTCTTTACTTTATGTATATAGTGTGTTCTACTTCATTTTGTTGTTCTATGCTAGCCGCTTGTACTCTACATGCATAGTGTAGAGGAATCACGATAGGAACAATATCATATCACACATTTGAATTTTATATAATAATAGCACAAAACTTGAGAACTTGGAAAATTTATCCAAAACAGAAAAGATTTTTCGCACCAGCCGAAACAGGAGACCAGGAGAGGCCTTGTGATAGGAACCTCTATGCCTCTAAACCCAGCAACCTCTAAGCCTCTAAACCCTAAGGAACCTCTAAGCCTCTAAACCCTAAACTCTTTTTTGGGCAGCAGACATCGGCGTAGCGCTTTTGGCACAGGTCAGTTTGCATCCCTGCCACGCACGCATTCGCCAGGTGGGCGGAGCATAGAGATTTGGGTGAGGGTTGAGGGTTGAGGGTTGAGGTGAGGGTTGAGGGTTGAGGGTTGAGGGTTGAGGGTTTAGGCTGAACCCTAAACCCCGAACACAAGTTGTGCGGGGTTGCTTAGGGTTTGGGTTGCGCAGGTCTGCTCAATATCAAGAAGTCCCCTGGTGTTGGAAGAATGCTCGTGTTTAGCAGAGATCAAATCTTCAATCCAAAGCCCAGCTTTTGTTGCTTCAGGGCAGGACTGAAGATTTCAACCCAGGCAATTGCAGAGTAGATGTTTACATTGTAAAGCCGCAGTAGGTCTCGCAGAAACCGGTAGGGTGGATCTGAGCAGTTGCGGGTTCTTCGTGCAGGAGGGGGAAAAGGAGCAAGACCTTTCCTTGCATGTGTGTCTTTTGGGTGCTTTCGGAGTATGATTCAACCATGGGTTCCCCACCCCCCCCCCCCCCCCCCCCAACAAAAAAACTATCCCGGCTAGGTTCCCCCTTAAAAACCCTAAATTAGGCTAGGGGGGAACCTAGGAGGGGTAGCAAAAGGGGGCTAGTAGGGGAAGCCATGATTCAATCTTGAGTCTAGGTGCAGTACTTCAAGCTGCCTAGCAAGCCGAGCTTTTCCTTTCGATGGCACCCGCCCCTGCATGACCGTTAAAGGCCTACACAGCCTGGACACTACACCGCCATCAGCCCGAAAAGCTTCCCAAACCCCCTACCAAACTCCGAACTGAAGCCTGACAGTTTAAGCTTAAGGTGTTTGGGCGAGAAGCCCTAAACCCTAAACCCCAAACCCTATACCCTAAACCCTAAAACTGGCGAGGTCAGCTGACACCTCCTCGTGGCATTCTTCCGGCGCGCGGCTCAGAGACGGCCACCTCTCCCAAAGCACTTGAGGGGCGTTTCCCAAAGTCAAAGGTTTACGGTTTAGGGTTCTTGGGGAGGTCCCTATCAAAGGTTTAGGGTTTAGGGTTTTTGGGGAGATTCCTATCATCAGGAATCCAAGATCTTTTCCTTTTTTTTTGGGGGTGGGGGGGGGGGGGGGTTATCAAGGGGGTCCCGCCCACTTATAGGAGGTAGGATTTAGATGGAGTTAGGCATTGTAGGGAGTCATTACTGGTGAGTAGTAGCGTTGGCAGCTTGTTTGGGGGGGCGGGTGGTGGCTTTTGGGTTCCGCAACCCCTAAACCCTAAACCCAAAACCCAAAACGCACCTACCTGCTGCCCACATGTCGAAACCTAGCAGTCCGGACCCAGGGCTCAAGACTCAGAGAATTTTGGTATAGGTTTTACCCTAAGGGTCTAGGGTTTAGGGTTTAGGGTCCATGTACCTTATGAATATATACTTGGGCCCCAAAGTCCTTACAGACGAGGTACTTTAAGGCCCAAGTATACCCGATGTGGGGACATGGACTCTTAGGGTTAGATTTTCTCAAGGTTCATGAGTAGCTAGAAGTAGAGTTAGAAGGACCTTAAGGTTGTGCTGTGCTGTAGGTTGTCTTACTTGGAACCCTGCTTATCTCTACGCTCGAACGCTCAAGTAGGCATTGCGGGTTAGGGCCGAGTCTGTTGTGCACGAAAGCTTGAAGGGTTTATGTTGCCGTTAACGAGCCTCTCCCGGAAGCCCCAAGAAAACCGAAGCGGCACTGCAGCGGAACCCTTGCTTGCTTCAAGGCTCAGGGAACTTCGTAAGTTTGGGGTTTCGGGTTTAGGGTTTAGGGTTTAGGGTTTAGGGTTTAGGGCTATCCTACATCTTAGATCCAGGTGGGACTGCCGACGCTGGTCCCGTCACCTTCGCCACTGCCCGTGGATGCTCCCAGTTCGGTTGCCTCGCTACGCCTTGCTTAAGAACCAATTCGAAAAATCAAAGTATTCCTCCTTATAAGGACCATATTGGGGCTCTATTTGGGTGGTTCTGAAGCAAATACAATACAACTGGTACAATGAATACAATGAATACAATGAATACAATGAATACAATGAATACAATGAATACAATGAATATAGCGAATATGACAGACCCGATGAACACAAAGCATTTCGCGAAGACTATGGACAACTTGAGTGCACTGACTATAATGAATGGGTATAGTCAATTCAAGAAGACGTAGAAATTATGAACACTAGGGTCATAATGATGAAATGAATACTGAGTATAGTGCATATTACTGAACGAAATGAGCTGCATTCATTAGATCATCGATCTTCGATAGACTAATAGAATACTTGTATCAGTTATATCATTTGTATCAGTTATATGATCGTTTATATGATTTGTCGAGTCATTATATTCGTTACATTTGCTACAATTGTTATACTAGTTCTATGGAATCGGGGATAAGGATAGATTGAACACTGGTTATGCTGGCTGTATAATCAACATGAGATGATGAGCTTCACGCCTTGCATTAATGCCAATGGTTACGATAGCTGTATTATCATACTTTGAAAACTTAGCCGTTATCAGAGTCATCCGTTGAATGTTTCTTACTTGTGATAATTAAACTATTACATTAAAGTTGCATTCGTTAGACTAGTTATATGAACTGTACTCATTCTTTTAGTTGTATTATACATACTAACAAGAATGTTCTCGAATTATACTCATTGCCTTAAGGATACTTACTATATCAACTGCACAATCTGTAGATACTTATTTGTATTAAGTATATTAAGTACACTACACCGAGTTGACGATAAATGTGTTGAATTATTGAGATTGTTTTCGTTACTTTAGATGTAAGAGTTATACACATAATGCTTGGGAATCTTAATCATATTGTGTTAGACCTAAAGGGTCCATCAAGCATTTGCCCTCGTGCCACGCAACAAAAAGGTCGCCGATGTTTCAATAGGTTGTCCATGACATGCAGTCCAAAAAACCTCAACACACTGACATGAAAAACACTGTTAGTTTGGAAGTGTCTTTAATACCACAGCCCTTTCTGACAGAGTGTAATGTTCACTGCATTTTACCGAGGAAAATGATATATTCAGATTCAGGAGAAGCTAGCAAAACCATAGGTGTGGATCATTCCCTAACCCCTAAACCAATCAACCACAAACCCTGCCCATAGTAACATCATCATGGTCCCTTTTGTCTGGGCCTTTTTACCTACCCCATAGAACGAGAAGAAATACACTGTGGGGTTCTCATTGTCTTTCAAGCGACCGTTCGGCAAGAGTCCGTTGAGAAGGGAAACGTTTACCTAAAAGGGAGCCTACCTCGTGTTATTTTGAGCCCTTCGCCCTTCAACTACGGAACGACTTCTGCTTCAGTAGAAACCTTGGAAGGGATCATGCTGAGGCTCAAGCCCCAGTTCTCGATACCTAGTATGATACCTAGTATTTACTCTTAGGGTTTAGGGTTGAGGGTTTAGGGTTTAGGGTTTAAACGTTTAGGATCTGAAGCACCGCAATCCTCTGCCGAGTTTGCGAGCCCTGGCAACTGGCAGCCGGCGCTTGCAGGAGCAGGCAGGACCAAGCCAATCTCAAAGGGTTTAGGGTTTAGGGCTTCTGGGTTTAGAGTTTCGGGTTTAGGGTGTAGGGTTTGGGGGCTGCCAACTCCCCAACTGTGTCCGAAGCTGCTTTACACACGGCGCTGTTTTCATGTCACGTACGCTCCCCCTTCGAAACCCACCGGAAGGACACTGCAGGATAACAAAAGTGCCATATCTGGCTCCCCCCCCCCCCCCCCCCTTTAACCCACTGTAAGGTCAGCGTGAGGAAGTTGAAACCCTAAAACCCTAAGACCTGAACCCTAAACCCTAAACCGTGGCCCCTGCTCCCCCCCCCCTCCCCCCTCCCCGCCCCGGTCGCGCGCGGCAGAAGTTGGCAAATCTGGCATCCCTAAATTCTCTGAATACCAAGTCTAACCGTGTGCCGAAAACATATAAACCCTAAACCTAAACCCTAAACCAACGTTGTCCCAGCCACTGACAAGCAGGCCTTGGCCCTAAACCATCAAGAGTTCCACTAAACTTGGGATGTTCCAACTTGTACTAAGACTAACAGCTCCTTAATAGGAAAGCTGACTCATGCCTTAGCCCGGGAGCCTCTTCGGGTTTCGGGTTTAGGGTTCAGGCTTTAGGGTTTAGGGTTTAGGATTTAGGGTTTAGGGTTGGGATACTCCCCCGTATACCAAGAGCTCCTTGATAGGGATTATAATAGGGGGTACTATAGTCCAGGACTGTTAGTATAAGGGCGAACATCTCAGGTTGAAAGTTCGACACAGACCCTTGTTCCCATATACTTGCAAACGAGTATGCGCTTCGGGTGCTTGTGGGGTGTACCCTTAGTGTTTTGGCCTAAGCCCTCTTCATGCCAACCCTATTTGCTGAAGGTGTAGACATACCTTCCAAAAGCTTTTTCTCGTCGCCAAAATTTCGCTTAACCATATTCGTTGACGGTTTAGGCTGACGCTCCGTTCCAAAAACTTACATTTTCCCTCAGCACTAACGATTCAGGTTGATTCAAACATTGAATCGAATCCGGGCGAGATCCAAGATTCAAGGTTCAACCTGCGCGCTGAAAAACTTTTCCTGCGCATCTTGAATCTTGGATCGTACCAGGCGGGATCCAAGATTCAAGATTCATGATGCTCAGGAAACTTGTCCTGATCTTACTCCCATACATATATATATATATGTGTTCAAATCAGCAGGGAGGGCCCTCAGTTATTGGCCAGAGCTACTCACCGCCCTACACCCCAACACTGAGCTCGAAATGTCGGCCGTGGTGCATGGAGGCGTGACTCAGCCGAATGTGCCGTCGATGTCGGCCGCCTTCAAGGTCGGGCTGGGCGCGTGCGGTTGCAGTCTAGGGCAACAGAGTTCAGGGTTTAGAGTTTAGAGCTTACTTTTGGGATAAGGCCTTATAGAGTTTGAGGTAGACGCGTGTTCTCTTGTTCCATGCCGAACTTTCCCTCATTCTTCTGCTGGGTATTAGAGTTGAAAAGTATAATATATCTTTCTGTGCCACAACAAATCTGCATGATGGACACAAAACCCTAAACCCTAAGCCCTAAACCCTAAACCCTAAACCCTAAACCCTCAACCCTCAACCCTCAACCCTAAACCCTAAACCCTAAACCCTAAACCCTAAACCCTAAACCCTAAACCCTAAACCCTGGCCGGCCTTGTTTCCCACTTTGGACCTCCTCTTTGTTTTTCTCCGCTGGTGTGTTTCAGTCCATGACGCTGCGAAGCAGTCCACGCACCAGCCGCATTCTGTTTACCGACAGATTCTTCGAGCGATGATACCCCAGATGATGTCTCACTCGCTGCACCCAGTTTGAAGAGCGAAAGAATACTGCATGTGTCGAGAGAAGACAGAGGTGTAGGGTATAGGTTTAGGGTTTAAGGGTAGGCTCTTGGAGATTTAGGGCTAGCAAGCTCAGCCAGCAAGCATAGGGCTCCAACTTTTTGAAGGCTTCAGGGATTATTGGGGTTTTGGTGTGCAGGGTTCATGAGTTTAGGGTTCAGGGCTTACGGTTTTTGGGTTTTGGACGTTTAGGTCTAGGGTTTGAAAGGTAAGGGCGTGGGTGGGCACGTTAGGTCTGCGGCCCTAATCCCTCCTCTTTGAGGGTTTTCGGGTCTAGGGCGTAGGGTTCGGGGATTAGGGTTATAAGCACTAGGCTTCAAGAAGGGTACTTGAGCCCTAAACTTCAAACCCTAACCGCTCAACTTTCTTAAAGATTGCATGCAGGTGCAGCCTCCGCCCTTGCCTTTGCAGGGAGATGCGGCTTCACAGCAGGACGTCAAAAAGTAACAGCATCTGTCTCAACTCTGAACCCTGCATCCTAAACCCTAAACCCTAAACCGCCTCAAGCTCGAGGCCTGCATGTACCAGGGTTTAGGGTTTAGGGTTTTTAAGATTTAGGGCAGCGGTTTGCCAGTGCTCCTGGAATCGTCGTGCTCGGCAGCAGCAAGGCGATCCGAAAGCATCATCCTGCGGCCGCCGGAGCACTGGGTGCTCCCGTCGCCAGAACTCTCGGAACATGTTGCGATCTGTGCCGAGGCGGCATGAGTTGGAACCCCGCACCCGGAGGCACCGCATCTTTGCCGCGCAGTCCACGCCTTCAAGACGCCTTCCTAAACCCTAAACCCTAAACCCTAAACCGGCCGACCAGCCAGGGTCGCCCTGAGGAGGTAGTGGGGATCACCTTCACATGTGGCGAGCTTACAGCTCCAGAACCCTAACCCCCGAACCCCAACCCCCTCAACCCTATAGGGCTAAACCTTGAACCATACAAACCTCTTATCCCTGAGCTCCCTAAACCCTGAACCCTAGGCCCTGAATGCTAAACCCTGAACCCTACAAACCTCTAAGCCCTGAACTCCCCAAACCCTGGGCCCTGAACCCTAAACCCTAAACTCTAAACCCTAAACCCTAAACCCTAAACCCTAGCCCTAAACCCTAAACCCTATCGGTCCTAAACCCTTCACAGCGCAAACAGGAGCCCACCACGCTCAGCGGCAAGCCGCCGATGTGCTGGGCCTAGACTCACGGTTTGCCATGAGAGACGAAACAGGTTTTAGGGTTTAGGGTTCAGGGCTAGGGTTTAGGGTTTAGGGTTTAGGGTTTAGGGTTTAGGGTTTAGGGTTTAGGGTTTAGGGTTTAGGGTTTAGGGTTTAGGGTTTAGGGTTTAGGGTTTAGGGTTTAGGGTTTAGGGTTTAGGGTTTAGGGTTTAGGGTTTAGGGTTTAGGGTTTAGGGTTTAGGGTTTAGGGTTTAGGGTTTAGGGTTTAGGGTTTAGGGTTTAGGGTTTAGGGCCTAGAGTTCAAGGTTTGAGATGTTCGAGGAGTGTTGCACTCGCTGTGGTATCTAGGGGTCCCTCCCCTCCCAAACAATTTTGGCGCGGGTGGGGGGTCGAAGGTAGAGGGGAATCTGGCCAAGCCTTGAAGCTTAATCAGGGTTTAGGGTTTTTAAGGAACAATATACTAGAGTTGCTGAGGTCAGCTCCTGGGCTACTCCATGGGAAAGTTGCTTGGGTGGGGGGGGGGGGTTGTTTCGTAATCAGTTTGTACAGTTATACAAACCTCGCTCCAGGAACTTTTTGAGAATCTGATGCTGGAATCGGGCCAAGCCTTGAAGCTTCAACACTTCTTCTTCTGATGATTATTCCTCTTCTTCGTCTTCGTCTTCGTCTTCTTCTTATTATTCTTCTTCTTCCTCTTCTTATTCGCCTTATTATTATTCTTCTTGTTTGGCTCTCTGCCCCCCTTGGGATTCCCGGAAGACGAACGTCGCATATTTGCGGGTAACATTGCAATATGGGTACCCCAAGTATGTGTTTAGAGCGGATAGCGATACAAAAACGGGTGCAACATTAGGCAATGTTGTTGGGCTTACAGAGGCGGAGCTTCTACAGAGCTTATTCGCCCGATATGTTTGCAACTGCATACCATGGCTGCGGCCCACGTTCGTTCCAAGATTGAACCATATGTTGTGCCGATGCCAAGGCCCAAAGATCTGTTGGCTCGCATTGAAGGCATGCAAGTGCTCAATCGGGGGCGTTCGCATGGGTTCTACTTGGCGGATCATGGTACTTCTTAACCAATTACAACTGTACTTCTAACCCACTAAGAAGCATATGGTTACACGTACAGTTATAAGTACAGTTATCATTGGCTAATAAGTACCATGAACCTCCACGTACTGTGTTTGGAAGGTTCCAGCTAGTTCAGTTTTTCTGTCAGTAGCTCGGTTCTTGATTTCAGGTGTCTTCGAGCTAGAGATTGTATGTACTCGTATGTATACTGTATTCATATATATATATATACATACATATACATATGCTGGTATACTCTGTTAGGATTTCTATCTGCATAAGCATTTTGGGCTCCGGCCGTAGATAAGATGTTAGTCACAATCTCGATGTGTTCAACCCAAAGTGATCTGCTCTGGAACTTTCCCTAAACCCTAAACCCTAAACCCTAAACCCTAAACCCTAAACCCTAAACCCGTTGTTCGCTGACCCTTTGAATGGTGCCTTGGACACCGCCACGCCCCTCGTCGAGAGTTGCAGTCTGTACATCATTTGAGCTACGCTCCGATTGCCAGCTTTGGCTCAGAAAAGCCAGAAGTCCTGGGCCGGCGAAGTTGCTGTTAGCACGCACCGCAAGAGCCATGGCAAAGTCCTTCGCAGACGCTGGCTTGTCTGGTTCTTGGCTTCTTGGCAAGCTGTGTGCTTTAGGGTTGGGTCTTCGGGATCTTTTGGGCCTGTTTATTTTCCTTTGATTTGTTGCTGAAAGGAATAAACAACTCCGACTGCCCTGGACCGCGCCACCGCTCCCTCCGCCGCGCCGGGTGGTTGCCTGTCTGAGTGAGATGCCCCGGGGCCTGTGGTGTCTCCTCCTCCGGGTGGGCTGGCGTTGGAAAGGGTGTGGACCCTCGGGGCGGCACTTGCAAGGGTCGTCAGCGACTCGACGAGCGCCCCCCTTTCCCCCACTCGGCGGCGCCAGGGCGACAGTGCCTTTTCTCCCCATCTTCAGAGTCCATGATACATATTGGAACAGCAGAGGCAGGTGCACTTTTGTTGCGGCTACAACTGGATATTTTTTTGGTGTAGGTTTTTTTTTGCGACGTTTTGGGTTGGAGCGGCGTGCTCCCTTCGTATCTGGCGCACGCTTGTTGGGGTGTGATCCGTTTCGATCCGTTATGGCTACTTACTCTGGCCAGTCGATGTTCTGAGAGTGGGTCCTCGTGTGCTCTCTTGATATGCTGATTTGTTCATGTGGGTTGCGTGTCGCCCCCGGTGCTGGAGCGGTGTGCTCCCCCTGCATCTGGCGCACGCTTGTTGGGGCCTGATCCGTTTCGATCCGTTATATGGCTACTGGTTATAACCTGAGAAAAACATTGCTTGTTGTGAAGATGCGAGGCCCGGGTTGCTACGTTGGCAGATCGTTTTCTGAGCCGGTTGTGTGTGGAGTTTTTGAGCTTGCTTTGGTGATCGTTTTTTTTTGAGCCGGTTGCGTGTGGAGGTTTTTGAGCTTGCTTTAGTGTGTTGGGTATGCTTGCTACATTGAAAACTTGTGACGATGTGAGGCCTTGGTTGCTACATCAGTCGATGTTTTTTTGGCCGTTTGCGCATGGTGTTTTGAGCTTGCTTTGCGCTTGGCCTGTTGATTTCGTGTGTTGGGTATGCTTGCTACATTGCTTGTTGCGACGATGTGAGGCCCTGGTTGCTAATTATTGGGCCGGTTGCACGTGGTGTTTTCAGCTTGCTTTGCACTTGGCCTGTTGATTTCGTGTGTTGGGTACGCTTGCTACATTGCTTCTTGTCACGATGCGAGGCCCTGGTTGCTACATTGGTCGATGGGGTTATTGGGCCGGTTGTGCATGGTGGTTTTCAGCTTGCTTTGCACTTGACCTGTGGAAGTTGTGTCTTGGGTATGCTTGCTGCATTGCTTGTTGTGACGATGTGAGGCCCTGGTTGCTACATCGGTCGATGTTTTTTTAGCCGTTTGCGCGTGGTGTTTTGAGCTTGCTTTGCGCTTGGCCTGTTGATTTCGTTTGTTGTCTATGGTTGCCAAACTGCTTGTTTTGACGATGTTCTTCTCGCTGAGTGTGCGTGCTACATTGGTCGCGGGCTGAACCCCCTCTGCAGTTGACCTGTTGATCTCGCATGTTGTCTGTGCTTACTACATTGTTGCGAAACCATTGGTGCGTTCGGGAATCTTGTGTGTTGGCCGCTAGCGGCTGCTGGTAGCCGCGCCGTGCTAGCCCTCGGAACTGGTGCACGCGCGCGCCCTCTGCGCTTGGCTCACGGCTTTTTGTTTGGGTTGGCCCCGTCTGCGCTTGGAGTTTGCTCCCTCGGCACTGGCCCACCCGTTCGACAAGCTGGCGTCTTGTGCTTGTTGGGCCCACTGTGCTTGGAGCTTTGCTCCCTCGGCACTGGCCCACCCACTCAACAAGCTGGAGTCTTGTGTATGGTGGATGCTTCAAGATGGCAGCTCCATGTGTAACGTTTGCATTGCCTTCTTACATCTGTTCGTGCTTCGATGCGCTCCTAAGCATGCAATTTGATGAGAATATCGCCCGTGTTTGCTGGATTTTCGCTTGATTCCCAGCCTTATGTTGCTGGTTGGCGACCCTTGTCTGCACTAATTAGCTATTTCCCCCACTTGAACTCTGTGACGGAGGGGGGCGATGATGCCTTCGGAGCCCCCCTGAGAAGTTGAGAGGGACGTGGGAGGCAGGCCGCACCGTAAGTGCTGGTCGACACTCACTCACTCACTCACTCCAAGTCCCTAAACCCCAAACCCTATAGCCTAAACCCTAAACCCTACAGTAGAGCCTCAAACCCCTGACCCCTAAACCCTGAAGCCTTTCAGGTTCAGGGTTTAGTGTTTAGGGTTTAGGGTTGAGGGTTTAGGCTTTAGGCTTTAGGCTTTAGGCTTTAGGCTTTAGGCTTTAGGCTTTAGGCTTTAGGGTTTAGGGTTTAGGGTTCAGGGTTTAGGGTTTAGGGTTTAGGGTTAGGTTTAGGGCCCTAAAACCGACACAGCCTGGTGGCCAGGTGTGGTCTCGGAGATGGAGAAGTCCGTCGCTGAAGAGCAGCGGTCCTTGCCTGTGTCCAGTATGGGGGGGGTTTCGGGTTTAGAGCTTAGGGTTTAGGATTTGGCGTTTAGGGTTGAGAGTTTAGGGTTTAGGATGTAGGATTTGGTGTTTAGGGTTTAGGACTTAGGGTTTAGGATTAAGGGTTAAGGGTTAAGGGTCAAGGGCCCCTAATATATTCTTAGGGATACTTGGGAATAGTTTTTTTTGTTTTTAAGTGTTGGGGTAGTATAATTCCTAAGAAAGCAAAAAATGAATCCTTTTGCTAATTAGGGTGTCAAGTTCGGTTAAGTAAGTGCTAAGACCCAGAGTAGGCCCTTATGTCCCTTTTTTTGGGGGGGTGAAGATTCACGTAGAAGCCCCTTCAAACCAAAAAAGACACCCTTTTTATTCTCAGGTTACTCTTGGGTCTCGTATAGTCACCCAAGTAGTAGGATTCCCTTATAACAAGGACCCCATGAAGGTGCCCCTAAATCCTAAACCCTAAACCCTAAACCCTAAACCCTAAACCCTAATTTCGGAAACCCCTGTGTGGGTCAGCGATTCCGGGTTTCAAATTTAAGCTTTTGAGTTTTGAGGCCTTGCTAGAGTTGTCATTGCGGGACTGTTGGGAGGCCCATAAAAACCCTCAACCTTTGGGAGAACATCAAAAGGGACCACATTTATCGCCCTTTAAACTGGAAGCAGTCCCCAAAACCCAAACCCACCATTTGAGAGCTTGCCAAAATAGGGAAACCCCTACCTCTGCCCCTACCCCCCTCCCCTCTCTAGGGTTGATGACCCCCCCCCCCCCCGGTCACTGAGATTGGCGCACCGTCGGCCAGAGGTTCCTTGGGGCGGCTGAGGGTCCGCTAGTCGTTTTCTAGGGTTTAGGGTTTAGGGTTTAGGGTTAGGGTTTAGGGTTTAGGGTTTAGGGTTTAGGGTTTAGGGTTTAGGGTTTAGGGTTT